AGGCGTGCTGGCGAACGCCCGACGCGCTGAACATTGACTCATTCCAGAAGTTATATTCAAATTGCGAAGACTGGGCGCGTAAAAAAAAACTCGACTCAGACACGAAAAATAAGGATGCAATGGACATTGGGAACATCAACGAGATGGGCCAAGGGTCCGAAAATGTTTGGGACCAAACAGGATGGGTTGACGAAGACGGAAACTGGCGGCCAGAAGATGGATCGTGGAGCTACGGGTCCTGGGCCAATGAGAGTGACAGTGGGGACCATGAAGAAATTGACGCCGTAAACAAAGGCAAAGGAGCGGGCCCCAGGTGTTACAAGTGTGGAGGCATGGGTCATTTAGCCAGAAATTGCACAAGACCTAAACAGTTCACCAAAGGAGGTAAAGGTGGCAAAGGTGGAAAAGGCAAGGGTTACCGGGCCACCTACGGATCCTATGTGAAGGGTAAGATCGGAGGCAAACAAGGTGGTAAAGGAAGTGGCTCGTGGGGTGGAAGTTATGGAGGCCAAGGAAAATTCACCCCTCATAGCGAGCGTGAGTGTTACAAGTGCGGTGCAAAAGGGCATATCGCATTAACTGCCCGGGCCCCAAGAAGACCGCCAACGAAGTTGAGCAGGAGAGACCTACAATAAACGCTGAAAGTGAACAAACCACCTCGTTCGGCCAACCGCAACATGTTCTCAGTGTTGAGATGAAGGACGCAGTGAACGTGCCACTGGACCAACTTGCAACTGAGGAGGTTAACGGGCAATGGGATCTGCCCTCTTATGCCAGAAAGAAAATGGCACGTAAAACCGCGATGAGTTTGAAAAGAATTTACCAGGAACACCAATGCAACGGAGAGTCAATGGGACCGGAGGATAAGTAAAAGCATAAAGCAGGAAAAAAGTTGGCTGGAGAAGTGCAAGGAAATTGGGCTAATTGAGATGCGGGACTGTGATCCAGAAATTAACGCGGTGCCACCACTGAGCGCAACGCATGAGACAATCGTGGTTACCGTGGACTCTGGGGCATACAATGCAGTGGGACCCCCCAAAGTTGGCACTCATTTCCCCATTAAACATACGGACGCATCAAAGCAGGGAAGACAGTACAGCGCAGCGAATGGGACAACGATAAAGAATTATGGTCAACGAGTGATCACGGGCGAAAATGAGCATGGGAACGCCGTCAGCATGCCAATCCAGGTAGCAGAAGTCAACAAGGTTCTGGGATCCGTCAGAGAGATGGTAAACGCTGGAAATAGAGTTGTGTTTGACAAGGATATTAACGGGGGATCCCTGAGCCACATCATGAACAAGACCACAGGTAAGTACACAACCATCCACGAGAAGAATGGCACGTTTCAGTTTAACATCACGGTGCCGAGGGGGCCAGCGGAGACTGCCAATCCCAGGGGTGAAGTGAACGCAGCTGAGGGTTTTCCGCGGCCGGGAACCCTGGAGGCGGACCTATTCTACTAAGCCCCCCATCACCCGTAAGACCAAGCGAAAACTTAAACGTCTTTAATACCGAAGGAGACGAAGGGAGTGAAGGTGGGGGCAACGAGAGTGAGTTGAGTGATGTGGAAGATGTATTTGTGAGCGATGAAGCGGAGTTACCAAAGAAAGTTTACTGTGACATGAGGCCCTCAAAGGAGGAAGTTGAGGCGCATAACGCGACGCATTTACCTTGCCGAAGCTGGTGCCCACATTGTGTTAGAGGAAAAGCACGCAGGCGCAATCACCGTAGACGCAAGAGAGAGGGGAACGGAAACGTACCAGTGATTTCAATGGACTACATGTGGCTTAAAGGAAGAAAGGAAGAAGGTGAAAGCGCCAGCAATGGCAACCCAATTTTAGTCATGCATTGCAGGGGGGCCAAGTTAACTTGGAGCAGAGTGTTGATGAAAAAGGGAGTAGACTCAAACTCAGTAAAGGTAGGATGTGATATGATCAGCTTTACCGGATACAAGAAGGTGATACTCAAAAGTGATGGAGAAGCGGCAATCACGGCACTGGCCAATATAATTAAAGCCTTGTGCGACCTTGACATGGGGGTTGAAGTTAGCCCAGTAGGTGACTCAAAGGCCAACGGTGAAATCGAGAGAGCCGTTAGGACAGTGCAGGGTCAAGTCAGCACGTTAAAGAGCGCCTTGGATGCCAATTATAAGACTGAGTTTGGTGAAAGTCATCAGATAATACCCTGGTTGGTGAGCTATGCGTCCTCTCTGATTAACAAGTTCGCGATGGACACAGATGGGAAGACAGCCCATGAGAGGTGCAGGGGGAGAAAGTTTAACAAGCAAATTCCTGAATTTGGTGAATGCGTCATGTACTTGAAGACGCCTGCACACAAGGGCCGCGAGCAGCTTGAAATGAGATGGGAAAGTGGAGTGTTTCTGGGCATAAACGAGAAGAGTCAAGAGCTGATTATTGGGACACCAAATGGGGCAATCAAGGCGCACGAGTTTAAGAGAAAAGGAAGTGAGGCGGAAAGATTGAATATTGTCGAGATCACCGAAATGAAGGGGTTACCTTGGCAGCCTGACCCCAGTGCGGCGGGAGTGGAATTACAGTCTAGGATCATGGTGCCCATGGACTTACCAGAGCAAGAGTTAACTGCGCCTGAGACGAAGCCGCTTATTGCGCGAGGAATCGCTGTTAAGAAGCATGAATATTTTAAAATGGGACCGACGCCGGGATGTTACGGATGTAAATGTCTCGTTAGAGGAGACACAGAGCACAAACCGCATAACGCCGATTGCAGGGCTCGAGTTATCGAGTGGCTGAAGAAACAAGAGAGCCCAAACATCCAGGCAAGGCTAGCATCTGCCCAACTAAGACTCGAAAGTAAAAGTCGTGCGCCGGAAAATCAGGATCAAGAGTCAGAAAGTCAAGCGAAGAAACCGAGAACCAATGTACCGCCTCCGCCGAGCGCTAAAGTTGAGGAAGCTAAGGACGAGTGGATAATAAAAGGAAACAAAGTTATATGTCAACACCGACGACTGAGGAAAGAGTTAGCCTTCCCCACCAATGGTGGATGTCCTGTAGATTGGGACAAACTTAAACCCAGAAGATTTACTCACGCGATCATGATTGACGGTGGTGTAATACATGAGCACGAAGACGCTTGGTATGGTGAAGAGGGAGACGATCAAACATGGGCTATGGGAAACCCTTTTAACGGTTACTGGACCGGATGGACCGAGTTTGAAGTGGAAGATGAAGAGATGAAAGACCCCCCAAGTAAACCCATTAAACGAAAAGCAGAGGACGATCATGACGAAGAAGACCAACAGGCAACTCAACATCGTCAACTTGATCCGGAACAAGATGAAGAAATGTCAGAAGTGAACGACATCAGATTGGGGCTCAACATGATGGGATTTGACTCTGAGCTGGTTGAGTGGTTGACAAGCGGGGAATTGAACGTTGTGCACCAATTGAACGAGTTAAGGAGAGCCACCAAGATTTATGGGGCTTGCCAACATGAAACTCAGGCGCACGTGACCGAAGCATATTCGCCGGTGAGAGTTACAGGAATGGCAGAGAAAATGGGATTGATACCGGGGTTAGCGATGGACTTAACGACGCGTGACCAACACGGTAACCCATGGGACTTTAATGTGCCAGCTATGCGAGCGAAAGCGAAAAAGATTGTCAAATCCAAAGCAGCCCTGTTACTGGTGGTGAGCCCCATGTGCGCAGCTTTCAGCAGACTTCAGACGTTCAACTTTAAAAGATTAGGTACTGACCGTGTAAAACAAATGTTGGATTACGGGATCAAGCATTTGCCGTTTGCAATGGAGCTTTGCGAAATTCAACGGCGAAATGGGTTATACTTTCTGTTTGAACACCCCGCAGGGGCAACCAGTTGGGGCACTTCAACAGTGCAACGGTTGCTCAGGAACAGAGACGTTAAAGTCTACGATGGAGATTTGTGCTGTTACGACTTAAAGCAGATGGTCAAAGGTGAAGAGATGCTCATTAAGAAACCGACCAAGTTCATGACAAACAGTCCGGCCATAGGCCGCGAGTTGAGTTGGAAATGCAAAGGGCAACATCGACACATGGAGTTAACTGGTGGCGGAAGAACTCACAGATCAGAAGTTTACCCAGACAAATTGTGCCGAGCGATACTGAGAGGACTTGTGCGACAAATGAAGATTGACGGACGCCAAGGGGGTACATTTAAAGAAGAAGAAGCAACGAACATGGAAGCTGACGAAGAGGAGCAAAGTGAAGTGCAGATAAGCGAGACTAACTGGGCATGTGAACATGAGAACGAAGATAGGAAGCACAAGCACCAGTTAACGTGGACGAGAAAAGATTATGGAATTCAAAGATTGATGCTGCCGGGACCAAATGGACCACAATGGGGTTCATGCATTAGGAGAATTACCGCTGACATAGACACGGGGAAGATTATCGAGGACAGGCCCGTGAACGAAATCACAGGGAGAGAGAGAGAAGGAGAATGTTCAAGAAGGGACCAGTCAATATTTCCACCACCTTTACATATGAAGCTGTTGGCGAGACTGCTCCACACAAGTGGAAGCGCTGTGCATGTGGGCATGAAGGCTGGCTCAAGACGCCTAGCACCTGTGCAGCATGTGAAAGGATTGGTACAGTTAACCCTCTCCCCATGAATATGATCAACGTTGTCCACAAAGAAAATGAAGAGATAACTCAAGCCTGGGATG